CCAATACAAAGAGTGCTACAAAAAGTGGGTTAGCTGGGTGAGGAGAGAGGGATGGGGTTTGTTGGCTCTGCTGAGAAGGAGAAGCCACCGCTGTGGGGAGCCACCCATGAGAAATCACTGAGAAGTTAAGGGACTTTTGCAATGACATGACAACACCAAAAAAGACAGGTTTATGTTAAAGCCTGTGTTCCAACGGAGAATGGCTCCATGACAAGCACATCTCAAGGAACCAGCAGTGGGTACAGCAGTCACTGCTCCTCACACGTAGCCCAGGTGAATGGTTTCAGCAAGGTGAGAGCTGTAGTGCTGCTGTGAAGGGAGGTTTGTGTGCCGCAGAGCTGCCAGAGCCCAGGGCACAAGGAGATGTTGGGGCACGGAGCTGAGCCACCCTTAGGGTGACACAGCGGGTGCCAAGGAAGAGGTTCTGCTGTCACTCCTGTAGTTCAGCTGCTCCGTGAGGAAATAACCTCCCTGCGCTGCCGGGCTATCAATCCCACACCCGGCAGGATGTGATTTGCACTCACACATACCCAAAAGGCTGCACATCACACCGGCCAAATGAAAAAACATCTCATCAGAGGATCACTGGCGAGGATCTTGTGGAGAGGAGAATTAATGCTGCTGCCTTGTGTCAACCAAGGTGTTGGAAAATATACCAAGTTTAATTTTTTTTATTTTATAACTTTAGTCAGTTTTCACAGAATCATAGAATGAACTAGGTTGGAAAAGACTTTTGGTATCTTCAAGTGCAGCCTGTGTTCGCTTTTGCCCTGGGGGAAGGGAATTAGAGTTTCTATCCATGGGCATTGTCTCAACAGACTGAGAGTGGCACAGAAGATACTCAAAGGATAACGTCCATCAACAGCAATTAACGAACCATCAGCTCCAAACAACAGCCCTGGGGTGGCCTGAGCACCTGGTCAGGGGAGAAGAGATAAGAATGAGGAGCAAATTAGCATCAGAAGCGATCTGTAACCAACAGGAAACCAAACAGAGAAACTACGTGACTTGCAACCAATCAACCTTGAACGGATGAATCTCTGTGGGTTTCGACTGCATAAAATTGATGGGAAATCCAGTCAAATCCATGCGTCACGGAATGATTTTCTCTGCATACCCGGGCGGTGTGTAGATGAAATGATTTCTGTGATACATCCTGGCCAGAAATAGAGTAGGGTTAAAGAGCAAGACCTGCCGGGTAGGGGAAGTTCCCCCTTGTGCAGAGGATCCCACAAGTCATCATGTAAATTTCCCGATTAAGGAGGATTTGAGTTGAACCCACTGTTCCCCTTGCTTGGACAATCAGGGATTCCACATCTCCAGGACAGGCTCACACAGCCCCGTTCTTCAAGGATTTCCAGGTAAAATAAACAAATAATTCCTTCTTTGCTGTCCTGTTGAGAAGTTTTTCTTGCCCTGAAGTTCTCTCAAAGATGAAAATGCCTGGGCTGGATTTCACTGGATTTAGCAATCCTAGCACTGCAGTCTTTTCCCCAAGAGTTAATGACTTTCTACTGGTTTGCTTGAGAAGAATGTCCCTGAAAGCTGATTGCATGTACTCAAGGATCCGTGACCCAGAACTTCACTAATGAGTATGTTTATCAACTGCAGATGGATATTCCTTTCCTGATATCATTTTTATTCTTATTCAACTTATCAACTACTCCATTATCTTGTCTTCATGATTCAAACACTCTGGGAACATGATGTGAAAAAGCCAATGTACTAAAGAACAGGGCTACTTAAAACTAGTTCACATGCCATGCCCTTAATTTACTATAATATGAAAAAATTTACCTTAGCTTCTGTTCTAAATGAGGTTCATGATCAGTTCACAGCTCATCTCATTACATTTCTATGCATGACATTACTACATCTGTAATAATGCTAAATGACACAGCTTCCAGCACGAAGAAGAAATTGCCTCCCACTCTCACACAGGAACCACTTCCTACATGTCCATTAGAAGGCATTAAATTTTGGTGCCAGCACATTCACAATCCCTGAATTATTTGTAGATTAAATAATTCTAAAAACATGTAATGAATCTGCTCTCATGCAATTTAGAAAACTTAGCAGACTTCTAAGATTTCTTCATCATCAAAACATCCTTGTAGGTTGGCTAAGACATTCTCCCAAGCTGTTACTGAATTGCTGATCTCATTTATCCCTGCAAATGGATTTAACTCCTAAAGCTGCTCACTGCAGAGTCCCACAGGCAGCAGTGGTTGTATTTAGCTTGGGCTCTCAGCAAAGCACAGACTGAACAACTCTGCATCCTGGATTTCTGGTTACAGAAATTGTACATTAGAGAACGCTTCAGTTCTGGCACTGTTCCTCCAGCGCTGTCAAACCAAGAGAGATTTTGACTTCAGAAAGTCAAATTATGGAAGGGAAATGGTCATCTAAGAGCTTTATAATAGATACCTTGATAAAGAGTACCCCCTGTGTTACTACATTATACACATTCTGATAAAAACATGACAAACCTTTCTGACAAATTATAGAGGATGGTCATTATGGAAAAGTCTTTGCCTCACAGAAATTCAAATGCATCTCCTGGTGACATTTTACCTACTGCCTCTTCAATAGCTCTCAGCTCAATTCCCAGCTTCCCTTTTACTGATGATAAACAGTGAGTGCAATAACACAAATAACACAAAACCAGAGCAGCACTCTCTGGCTGTAGGAAAATTGCAAATGGAAAATAAGAGTTTATCTATGTAGGGACAGGCTGAGAGATGGAACAGGGTTTCAGACAGAGCACAAATGTAGTAGATAAAGTGTGTCAGTAATTTAGATTTATTTTAAAATACCATATCCCTGAGCCATCTGGAATTGGGGTTCACATCTCCACACCCCACACTTGTGTTTCAGAACTGCAGAACACACTGTTGAGATCTGTGCATTTTTTTAGCAGCATGCATTTTGCAGCATGCCTCTTTTCAGTTTATCTTATATTTAATGCAGACACCAAAACATTTTGAGGTGTGTTTGTAAATATGTGTGCCTGTCCAGATGCCTTTCCTTGAGCTGTTTCTGAAAGCTGTACCTTCTCCCCTTGGTTTTAGTTACAATGAGCAGGACACAGCTAATATCTTTTTCTTATAAACCATCTTCACATTAAGGTATCTCCAGCCTGGCTGTTTGCTCCCTTTTCACTGAGCATATATCACTGGCTGTTTATCATATTGTTCCTTCCTGCTTCCAAACAAAACCTCCCACTGAGATTTGGGGGCAGCAGACAGCCAAGCTGTGCATATACAAGTGCCAGCCCTAATGCTTTCATGCCTCATTAAGTGACCTCCTGCTCTTTTCTGCACTTGCCCGGGATTTTTGGCTGTCCAGCAGCAGCCACACATCTGTCACAGGAGAGCAGCTCCGTGGTCTCTGTCCCAGAGAGGCTCTGATGGATCTCCCAGACAGACCCAGTGTCCCTGTGCAGAGCCCAGAGCTGCCCCTGACATCTCCTTTGCTGAGAACAGAATTAAAGATTAAAATCCTGGGATTTTTTTATTATTCAGAAAGAAAATGGACAAAGTTGTAGTGTGGTCTGCTCAGAGCAGTGCCATGCCAATATCTCCTGTCTGCTCCAGTGGTGTTGGTGTGTAAGCAGTCACAGAAAACACACAGCAAACTGCTTTGGAGCAGTAATAAACATTGAGATTGTGTTCTGAGAATTGTGTTCTTCTCCAAAGCATTCAGACAGGGGCTGGATTTATGAAGCAAGAACTACAGGCAGTGCAAAGCATGGAACTGACAGTGCTGTTGAGACAGAACAGATTGTTTCAGTACAAGAAAAGCTCTCAGCCTCTCTTCCCCTGAGATCCTTTCTGAAACTATCTGTTCTGTGGAGCCTTGCACTCGACAGCAGCCACCCAGCAGCACTGCACCATGCTGTGCTGTCCTGTGCAGCTCCACTGTGGGCTCCTGAACAGCAAATTCCTCTCATTTATCGACACAGTCCTCCCATTGTCCTCAGGCCTGTGTGCTCACATGGCCGCGGAAACACAGCGTGCCTGAAGAGGAAAGGCTTTGCAGCTGGCAGAGAGCAGGATTTCATTGCTGGGACTCTACTTGGGGAGGCAGTGTCAGGGATATTCACCTTTCACCCTGCCATGAGCAGCCGTGTCTGCGGTGAACAGAAAAATGCATTTTTTTCTGCATTTCAGAAAAATGCAGGGATGAAACCCTCGTGACCACAGTTATGAGGGCAAGCTTGTGACAGCTCCCAGCTGTGTCAGGTGGTCATGGAGGAATGGATGGCATCCAGAGGGACCTGGACAGGCTTCAGAGGTGAGACTGTGAACCTGGTGAAGTTCATTCAGCAAGGCCAAGTGCAAGGTGCTGTGACAGGACCCAGGGACCGGCTGGAGCTGTGCCAGGGAGGGTTAGGCTGGATTTTGGGAAAGGTTCTTCCCCAGAGGTGCTGGGCACTGCCCAGGCTCCCCAGGGAATGGGCACGGCCGAGGCTGCGCATTCAGACAGGGATGCCCAGGGTGCGATTGCTGGGATTGTTGGGCTGTGAATTTCCCCTCTCTGTGTTTGAAGCCATTCCCCCTCGCCCTGTCACTGCAGTTCCTGAGGAAGAATCCCTCTCGTTTGTTGGGGAATGTTGGGGCGTTCTGTGCAGAACCTGGAGCTGAACTGGATCATCCTTGTGAGTGCAGCCCAACTCGGGATATTCTGTAGCTCTGTGACCATTTATAAGTGCTTGGAGTGACATGATGAGAGGGCATGACTTCAAAATGAAAGAGGGAAGGATTAGACTGAATATTAGGGCAAAATTCTTGGCAATGAGGATGAGGAGGCCCTAACACAGGCTGCCAAGAGACGCCGTGACTGCCGCATCCGTGAGGAGTCCAATGCCGGGCTGGGTACGGCCGGGACGAACCCGCTGCGCCACAGAACATCCACGCCTCACCAACGCGAACGCTGCGGCTTTAAGGAGGCGGTCGGGGCGTGTGCCCGGCCCATCATGCCGCTCGGGGGGCCGGGCCGCTGCCGTGTGCCGGCGGTGCCGCCATGTACCGCCTGTGCCGGCCGTCCCCGCTGCTGTCGCCGCTGCTGTCGCCGCTCCGCCTGCCCCGCTCCCCCTGCCCCGCCTGGGCCGCGCTGCCGCCGGGGCCGGGCCCGCAACGCGCCCGCGCCAAGGTACGTGAGGGCTGAGGGGCCGCCTGCCCGGCGGCGCTGAACGCCCCGATCTCACCCTGCTCCTCGGCTTTTTAGGGTGTATTTCCGTGCTTTTAACCTCAATCCCCTCTCCCAGCCCCCATGGGATCAGTAAATCATGTTTCTGTGGGAGCTGGTTCGCACCTGCTGGTGGGCACTTTGGCAGTGTGAGCTTTAATGCCTGCAGTGTAATTTGCAGCGTGGTTTCTGCTGCCTCGTTGTGAAGGATCACGGGGTGTTCTAGATGTGTTTTTATGCTTCAAATCGCCTGAATGATGCGAATAAAATCGTTTTTTTAGCTGGAATATTGTCGCAGAGTAACATGGAAATTGGCAGCGGCTTTGCTTGCTAAGCTGGGCATTATTCCCTACGTGACTGCCCTGGATCCTCCAATCTGTTGAAATGATTCTTTTTTAATGTTTTGCTTCAATACCATTCCTGGTGTGTGAGCCTCTGAATACAGTGGAATTGGAATGGACTTGAAAGGTCAGAACAAGCAGTTTTTCAGTGCTTATGATCCATCCCTAAGACCCAGAGCTCATGAGTCACAAAAGAAAAATCTAAAGTTTTAGAAGGACAAGAATCAGGATAAGCTAAGCTACACAATTTCCTGTTTCTGTATTTGTATGACTTCCTGTCAAAATAAAATACAAAGTAACACAAATAATTACAAAAGAGAAAAACAGCCAACAAATGTGGGGTTAGGGTTTGGGCGACCGGTGTGCTTACCTTGAGGGTTGTAAGACTGTCTTGTGTGCTAATTTACAATCTTAGCAAGTGCAATAATTAATCAAGAATATTTTTCTTCGAATTTGTATGCCTTGAAACCACAGTGGGACAGTGGTGGCAGGCACCTGGTGGCTCTACCTGTCCTGTGGTGGTGTCACATTGTCACTTCTGCTGCTGAACTCAGCTGGAAAGAAAGGATTCGTCTAATGTTTCCCGACTAGAGACAAATCCTGAGGTTTTTGTGGAAATGTTTTCTTCCTGTCAGTATTTCTTCTCTGGCGAGCATGGGGAGTTTCCAAGGGCTGCCAGCACAGCTGCCCTCCTTTGATTTCTTTTCAGATTGCTTTGGGATATGGTTTAGTACGAAGTTCTGCACTTGAGAGGTACCCAAATAGAAATCTATCAATGACTTGTGCTGTGACGAAGATTTTCAGGCTCTCAGCACCAGCCCTGTCATGTCCCTGCAGTTGTTGCCTACACCGTAGCAACAGAGTTGCTTGTGGCTGTCAACACTTGCAGTTCTTCCTTTGATCAGCTCGTCCGCTAAGGGTGATTTAAAGGAACTTAAACTTTGGATCTCTTCCATCGGGGAGGGTACCAGGCGGGCTTGCAGTGCCCCTGGAACAAAGAGCTGTGCTCCGGGGAGTCACTGGGTGAAGCTGGGCAGGGGGTGGAAGCAAAAAGCTCTCACACCTCAGTCTCATGGCTCCAGCAGCTGTCTGGGCGTGCCTTGGCACACATTGGGATCAAATAATCTGCTTTTAATTATGAAACCTGAATTGTGTAAGCGTTTACACCATGATCAGTGCATTCCTTTGACAGGAATAGGTGGGAGAAGGGAGCTTGTTTGGGCTCTGCCACAGCATCTGCTGATGTGCAGGAGCAGAAGTGAGTTTCTGTCTTCCCAAATCACTCTGTGTGCAAAACACTTCTTTCATAATATCAGCTAACCGTAATATGATCTTTGCTTTATGCTGACAAATACTTCTAATTGTTTTCTTTTTAGGATGCAACTGAACCCCTCAAAAATGCAGCCACTGAGCCCAGTGCTGAAAACAAGAAACTCAACAAATCCCAGCAGCTGAAACAAATTTTTAAAGAATATGGTGCTGTAGGGGTTTCCTTCCATGTTGGAATTTCCTTAGTATCTCTGGGAATCTTCTACCTGGCTGTGTCAAGGTGAGGTTTGTACGGCTGTCTGTCATCTCCAGATGGTGGTAAAAGTAAAATACATTTACCATTGTGCTTATCCCTGACAGGAGACAGGCATTGATGCCTGTTGGACTTTCCCTCCTGCATTTTGAGTATGGATGGGTCCATAAATGGACCTGATCTCCCATCAGGCATGAGACAGCAGAGTTGTACATGGACATTTTGCACAGGTTCATCAGCAGGGAAAACAGCAGGCACAGCACCACCATAACTGACCAGGCAGAAAATGTGTTTGTTCTGCAGATAGCTTTTGTTCTTGCTTGGTCTGGGGAGATAGAGCCGTGCAAAAGTGCTCTGGGGCTTAGAGATAAAGGTATTTTTCTGGGTGTTGAACACAGTTTGTGCAGTTGAACTGCAGAAAATAACAGCCACTAGAAGAGGATTAGAGTGAAAATACAGGAGTCAGGTGGGGAGTTGTGTGTGGCTTTGTTGGAATGCGTGTTACACAAGGTATTCCAGCTGAGGAGACAGGGGAATGTGTTATTACCCCAAACATTCCCTGCTGCTCATTCCTGACTCCAGTGGGAATAGGTGAATGCCTGATTTCTCCTGTTTACTACATTGTGGCACAGGGTGACAACATTTTTTTCCTTCAGGTCTGGTTGAATCCCTGATGAAATCTGCTATGTTTCTATTAATGAATTTGGTGGATAATGCCTATTTGAGCTCCTCAACACCTCCTTCAATTGGTAGATTTTAGACAATTTGTCATTTTGTAACACTAAGCCTACCAGCAGATACCTCAGCTGGTTTGTACTTAGGTGATACATTTCCCCAAGACACAGAATATAGTTTAATATAAATTTGGGAAGGTGAAACTCCAACACAAATTCACAGTAACTCTTTAAGAATCACTTTGCAGAGAAACTTCACAGCAACTCTTTAAAAATAACTTTGCAGAGAAACTCCATCTCTAAAGTCTAAGTAGAACCATGACACATGAAACTTTGTGAGCAAACCCCCAGCAGTTTATTGTTGTGGTGTGTTGTTTCATATTCCAATAGTTTATATTTTTAATCCTAACCTAAAGCAGCATCTCCTCTCAGCAGTGGCATGGACATGAGCATGGTGCTCATGGGCTGTGCCACAGCATCTGCTGTGCTGATGGGGAGGAGCAGAAGTGAGTTTGTCTTCCCAAATCATTTTGTGTGCAGGACACTTCTATCATAATTTCAGCTAAGTGTAATATGATTGACAGTAACTCTTTTAAGAATTACTTTGCAGAGAAACTCCATCTCTAAAGTCTAAGTAGAACCGTGACACACGAAACTGTGTGAGCAAACCCCCAGCAGTTTATATTTTTAATCCTAACCTAAAGCAGCATCTCCTCTTTGCAAACTTAAGAGTAACTTCACAGTAACTCTTTAAGAATCACTAAGAGAAACTCCATCTCTGAAGGCTGAGTAGAGCGGTGACACACGAACCTTTGTGAGCAA